CTCAGGCTTTTTCTCTTGATTTGTGGATTCTGGCATTCGGATAATGCATTATCCGAATGTAGGCTAGAGAGCAATTCCATAGCATCAACTAAGAAGAACAGGAATATACCATGAATGCGCATTTCTTCTGAAGAATAATTCGAAATACTTAGACGAGTACTCTCATAACTTCAAGTGAACTAATAGACTTTGAGTATATGACCTTTGTCATATTAATAGGAAGCTTTTCTCAAATATTTGAATACATCCAAGTGCATGGCAGCACACAAAGGAAATTAAATTAGCAAATAGATTGATGAATTAGAAGCAATTTTGCGATTGTTGGGACTGCAAGAATGTAAAATTTGTTTCATAGCTAGATATCTGGATACACTATGAATTAAGAAGAAAACATAATCAACAATGGAGGGTTCAGCGCCGGCAACGACGAATCCTTCACTGATGTAATTATGAGGTTATATGGATAAGTATTGTGGTAGGACTGTAGATATTTGAAGAAGAATGTGGAATGATTATTCTGGTGGTGGGCGAATGTATTTAGCCTATCTGAGTGCAGAATGGATATCTAACGATGAAAGTATAATCAACATAAGAAGTAACTGGGCCTGATAATATGCATGTACGATTTGTTCGATGGCCATGCCCATTGATTGTCTTATGTACTCATGTAATGCGTATTGACATTGTTTGATCCTTAAGCTCCTGATAATGAGCACGACTCACATTTGAGTCATGCATTAATATGAGCTTGTATAACTAAAGTCGTGTTGTTTCATCACTGACTCTTGCCTATGAAGCTCTTGCTTCCTAGCGCATACTAGGATCACAATATTCACCTTCTAGTGTTGCCGGTGTAATCTCTCTGTATGCTCTGCATATCTGAGATAGCCAAGAAGAATCGCATCCAAATCGAAGTCAAAAGCACTCACAAGCACATCTAAAATCGACGACTCATTTTCAATGTCAGATCTATCCCACGAAAGCCTTGGAAGCTGCACTAACGGTGGGAGAAGACTTTCTGATTCGCATTCTTCTGGACAATCAAGCGGCCGCTCGGGCGCTCGAAAGAGGAAGATCTATTTCTTCGTAGGCAGTGGTGGACAAGTTTCCACTGCTGAGACAAAACAAGAGTGTGGAAATACGCTGGATACCCGGCCATGTGGGGATTCAAGGCAATGAAGAGGCCGATAAGCTGGCCAAATCAGCCTTGGGAGCTCCCAATAACCGGTCACTAATCTCAGCTGTGCCCAGCGGAGAGGATCAAAATCTAACCTTTGCGGCATTAGGGAGGTGGGTTATACTGCGCAGCTAAGAGCTCGTGGAAGAGTGGTGGCAGAAGTTTCGGCCGGAACGATACAAAGATCTGGACCTATTCATGCGCTGCAAAAGACCACCGGAACTAGCTTTACCAGGATGGACGTACCACCGTCTTATTGCGGCAAGAACTGGCCACGGGGACTACGCCGACTACCATCGACGTTTCAACACTGAACATGAAGGTCTGAAATGCGTTTACGGCCGAGAGAAAAGGCCCTGGCATTTTTCAGAGTGCCGACCTGTTTTACAACGTTGGAGAAGCTGTGAGAAATTTACCCCGCCTGGAGCCAAGAAGATGATTGGGGAGAAGGAATGGCAGAAGTTTTTCCAATTCTGAACTACAAGCAGATGTTACAGTCTGCCGAAGAATGAACAGGGTGGAAGGTGACCACGCTGAGACGGATTCCAACTCGGGAGGAGATGTGCTTGGAAGATAGGGATGCAGCGCAGGGCACTGTAACTCAGTCATTTATCGTTCCTTTTTATTTCTTTTGTCGCTTCTGGCTTTAATGCCGGTCATGTAGGTAGCAATGAGCTCTCAGAGCCCATCTACCCGTGTCACGTCTAAATAGATGTTAGGTTCTTCCTGTCACGTAAAAGATTTCAAATTAAATCAATGTCAGATCTATCATTGTCACGCGAGCTCTCCACCTCAATCTTATTACACCACCTCGCCTCGAATACTGAGAATGGCGTTACTCCCATTGCAATCGGGCATTTGCCTCATCAAAAGCCGGCCATTTCCCACTACAAATTTACGATACTATGTATACCTGTGAGAAAGAATTTAAGTCATAATCTACAAAGCTCGCGTCTTGGTCTATGGGGGACCGTTGCTCTAATGGGGCTTTACATCTTGAGGGAGGACAGGCAGCTGGGACGTGGGACGAACGAGTGAAGAGGTCACAAATGGGCATGCTGGGACGCACGTTGTTGAAGTATTTTCGACTTAAGGGTGTCTGTGAGTGCAGAAGCAACGATATTGGACAATGCAACCGACACTTTTAAAATAGGCAACGATGGAAGGTGTTTTGGTCCGCCTCCTGGCCGTCATCTCCTCGAATTAAAGTCTTTATAGCCTGGCGACTACCTCACTCGAGAAAGAGAGGACTGTGAGGCCTTATCTCGCGCGGCGGCTATATACAAGATGGTAAAGGCATGTTAGGGTAGCCAAAGGTTTTTCCTGTTCTCCCTTTGATGGATATTAACGGTTGAGGGAAGAGTGAAAGTTCCCAGAACAAAGGTCTTGAGTGGTATCAGCTAAGGTACCCACTACATGAGCAGTCCAAATGTCATACTGTGTTATTGTTGTATATAGTCGTCGGAGAAGCTAGACTTCTCCGTGTCTTGCTCTTTGAGTGCAGGGCTTGTGCCCATCACGAATAAATATTCATTCATTCAACCGACCTGATAATGTCAGTATCGGTCTCAGTAACGGCGGGAAGGACTATTTACCTCCTTTTGCTTTTGACAATATCCATCACCACGCATTTTAGGGACTGAGCAAGGCTCGTTGTTTGATCGAGAGCCCTAGGGCGGAATCTCCTGTCGTCCAATACGGCGTTGAGACGGTTTTTACGAACAGGCAGTATGAGAACAATACTAGAATATAGATCTTCTGAATGGGTGCGACAAGGGCGAGAGGGGAAATAGGGGATAATTCGAGAATTTTCAGGAATGGTAGCACTGATCATATATCATAGAAAGGAAGCAAGATACGCATTAAATGAGTGGTTTACTCTGGTGTAGTCCGAGAAGCCTGGGAATCTACTTCACTTGGGAAGAAGACATCTCAGATCACATTTCGCGCGGAGAAGGGCAAATGGATGATGGAGGCATGTTTGGATAACTCGGGGTTTGAGACGTTTCCCTAGGTGGGTATTTACGGATGAGGGTTATTTTTATTTCATTTTATTGTCCTGTCTAGGTCTATGACTATGTATGACATGCAGGTCCTCTCTGCCTATAGTGCAAGGATATCTATACCAGTAGTATATCCCCTCCTATGCCTCCCATACAGCTCCCCTCAAATAGTACCACCCCTCACAAGTCCTCATTCGATCATATACTTAGAGGAGCCCTTTGCCCTTTGTTATCTCCCCTTTCTAGCCAACGAAACGATGGCCAATTGCGGGTGTGTGGCAGCCGGGAAAAATTGCAAAAACCACTGGGTGCGTAGGTCTCCTAATAGCGATATTACGATTAAATCCGAAAATACAGTGACCCTTAGAAGCGTTCAAAGAGGCCGGCCAGCTGGGCGCTGCAGACTTGTGGGTACCTCGGAGAATTCACCCTCTGCCTTTCTGGCCTCCTTCCAACTCCTTCTTATTGTAAAGAGATGGATCTTGAGGAAGAGGAACGTATCTTATGTCGTGAAAAACAAGGAGTTATAATTGACTATATTTCAATGAGACTGAACGCAGTAATGAAAGAACGCCTGCACGCTAAGACACTTGCACGTGATGCCCAATTACAACACCTCTCGAAGGTCGTGCGGTAATTTCAGAAAAGTCTTGAAAGAGTGTGATTGTTGAATAGTAGCTTAGCCCAACTTCTTATGTGCCGTCCAGGGCGCTTGGGAGTGCCGTTGACTTATCGACAAAAGAAGCTCTCCCGGCTAACTAGGCGAAATCTCGTTCTTGGCGCCCACAAAAATCCAAAGTTGAAAACTCCGCGAAAATATCGATCTCAGCATGGTCTTCAGAGACCTGTTCCCCCTCTCGCTCCAAATCTCAACCGCCTGTTCTTCCTCAAGTTGTTTGTCCTAATATAGCAACAGTCCCCCATGAGCCAGGACCCAGGCTTTGTGTTTCTCGACTTGATTTCCTCCTAGCGGGTATAAATAGCGTCGTAAACATATAATGAGAGATGGCTGGAAATTGATGGAGTAAGCTTCTGTACGCAATTGGAGCAACTTTTTTATAGGTCGTCGAGGCGAGATGACGCGTGGTTAGAGATGGGTTGAGGACTCAGATAAGAATGGTAAGAGAGGTATTGTCTAGAAGTAGTCAAATGGAGATATGATTGACGATGCTTTCGACTTCGATTCGGATGCGATTATTCTTGACTATCCCAGATATGCAGAGCATACTGAGCGATTACACTGGCACCACTGGAAGGTGAAGAATTCGTCTTTGCCGGCACGGATGAGGGTTGACTTGGGGTGAAAAAAAAAGCCACTTCAACTTCGCACTGGTACTTGCAAATGATACCTAAGGCATGAGTGCTCTTCTTGCAAATTGAGGCATCTACTTTGTATTTTTCTTTCATATTGTACCATAGCTACAAAGCGGCTTACGCTTCCGTGTCATAGCTAGATAGCTGAATACACTATGAATAAAAAAAAAAAAAAAAAAAAAAAAAAAAAAAAAAGCGGCTTACGCAATTATAACCTGACGCAAAACAAAGCAAGGCACTAAATGATTAATTAAAGTTCGCCTAATCACGCGATAGGTTCCGCTCAATCCGCAGCGATCACCCTCTAGGATTACATTGGCCGTAAATAATTTCACCATGAAGTAGCACACATACTCTTTCTTATCAGAGAAACTATTTAAACTTCCCTAAGCCAAATACAGGTACTGGGTATACTTCGGCAAGCGTTACGATTTCTTACTTGCATTGAGAATATACTTCGAGTGAACAAGTGTCCATTTCGAAAACGTGTTCAAAGTACCTATAAGATGTCCACCACTTTCGGTTCGAATAGTGCGGCGATCGCACCGAATGCAACGTGCGTGTCATTGCACATCGACACGTACCGATCATTCAGCTAACTATGACTAGAGTCTATGTTCGCAATCTCGAGGAGCGTATAAAACTTCCACAACTTCGCGAAGCGCTTGAAGAGTTATTCTCTGAATATGGTACCATTATTGAAATAATCGCAAAGGCCAACCTAAAAGCAAAGGGTCAGGCTTTTATTGTGTTTGACAGTGTAGCTAGTGCAACTAAAGCTATTGAAGAAGTTCAAGGATTTGAACTTTTTGATAAGCCTATGCAATTAGCTTATGCACGGACACCAAGTGATTCAACTGTCAAGAGGGAAAAAGGTGATGGCGATGAGTTTGAGAGCCACAAGCGGAGGAGACTTGCAGAAAAAGGTATGAGAATCCCTATCAAGTACAGTACAGTCTATACAATAGAAGTAACACATCGAAAATAGATAAAAAGAAAGCTGCCGAAGCTGCCGAGGAGCAAAAAAGACTAAAGAGAACTGGAGCAACCGCTAGCGTTGTACCAGATGCCAATGTGAGGCAAGCAAAAACCACTAGGGGTGCCGGTCTTAAATCGACCAATACTGGTACGACAGCAGTAATTCCAGATGAATATCTACCACCAAATAAAATTCTCTTCGTACAAAACCTACCGGATGACTATGATATTGATGCCTTGACTGCTATCTTTGGCAGGTTCGAGAAGTTCAAAGAAGTACGCTTGGTGCCAGGCCGACGAGGGATCGCCTTCGTCGAATATGAAACAGAGACAGGAGCTATAAGTGCCAAGGAGAACACAGCTGGGATGGCTCTTGGCGATGGTAGCATGCTTATGAAAGTCACGTACCAAAGACAATAAAACAAGAATGTGCATGGTGAACTTATTATTAACATTATCGTCCCGAATTTTAGTCACATCAGATCTGCCTCAGGGAGGGCACATTATTAGCGGGTTACCTCGAGTAGTTAAAATATCACATCTGCATCCTCATCATTTCCCAGAACGTCGACATTAGTATCCTCGCTGATTTCGTCCCTTTCAGCTATCTGGATACGTTTGGCTCTCATAATAGCGTCTTGTATGGCACTTTCGCGCTGCTTCTTATTTTGTACCTGATTCGGCCGTTAGTTCGAGGTTGCATAGAGCTAAGAGGTGTGACGTACTTTTTTGAGTCTGAAAAATTCTTCGCGATCAAGTTCATCGAGTTCGGAATTAATATCTAATATGCTTTAGAAAAGTCTATTTCGATCCGCAGAGACTTACACTTTATTGTATTTTCAGTCCTCGGGATGATAACGTGCTCGCTGTGTTGTGTTAATTTCGTAATTTCATACTGAATCTAAATATAACTGACATAGAGTTCACTGTTGTCTTTAGAAAATGACTCTGAAAATATTATTGTAACATACCTCGACGATTGACAACCTTAATAACTTCGTCTAGAGTGACAAATGCGGTCTAATCTGTTAGCATTGCTTATCATTTGATTTACAAGAGATTGACCTGAAGACTGGCGAGCTCAACTAGTGTCTCTACGGCTCGCGCATAAGTCTCTCTACATCTTTGGACCTGTTGGCCTCCCTTTCCAAGTCCTGTTAGACCAAAATCGTCGTTACCTTCGGTGATGTAGCTGTCAAAGGCTGGTAAGAAAACACCTGAAACATTTTCTTGTTTTGTCTGCAGTCGAAAACGGGCCGACTTCGCCGATTCTTGGATTTGGTATCCGATGTCACCTCCGACGGCGTATGTAACCTCTGCCAAAGAAAATGCTGCTATTTGCATGACTCTGCCCATTTTTCTTTTTGCCTCATCAATCCGTCTGGTAATTTCTACCGATGTGTGAGTTTATCATTGAGTGAAAAGTGAATCTCAGGTACCTCGAAAGCGTCTATATTGCGAAGTCAGAAAATAAAAATTGTCAATGAAGAATCAACACACTTTGTTAATGCTTCGCTCTTTCTCTTGAGTAAATCATGTCCAGTTTGAGCTCCTTTAAGCTTCAACTTCATCAAGCCTAACGATTGCCGGGTCGCGAACACTGGCTCTCGATTCTATGTTTGTGTTATCTCAGTACTCTTGCTTATCATTATTAGAATCTTACTTGTGTCCCGGACATCTTGACACTGTTTAATGATTCGAGGTTATAAGTTTCCTAGAGACGTGCATGTGCAACTTTCCAGGAGCTTATCCAGCATCACACGCGGTCCTGCGGCCTTGTAGCCTTGTCACGCTAAATTCCTAACACAATAACCACCAACCCCTTCAAGGCTGGGTTCGATAATGTCCCTCTGATGCGACTAATGTAAATCAATTAACACACATTCGACGAGCTTATATCTTCACCGAAAAATTCCAGAGATTCAGAATAGCTGGACAAAGGATGCCCGGCAAAATCATTCGCCTACCATGAACTACCGTAACATCCTAAAGTCGAAGCTTTCTCGAAAGTCAGACTTATCTCTAATTGTGTTTTTATCGGTCAAAACTTGTGGGTTTTAGGCTGATTTCTTTTAGTCGGATGAAGATGCTGTATACGAGCAAGAAGTCTTTCGAGACCCAGGAAGCACGAAACCATGGCTGGCATATATCGAGACCAAGATCCGACACGGCAACATTCAGGAGCAATCCTTCGTCATGGAGAGAGCTTGTAGACAGCTACCACGCTCTTATAAGCTTTGGAAAATGGTACGACATTCCCGCTACTGATCTTCAGCTGACAGTCATGACCAGTATCTGAAAATTAGAACCAAGCATGTGGATAAGCTAAACCCAGCAATATTTGCTTCCGAATATTCCAAAGTCAACATACTTTTTGAGCGCGCCCTCATACTACTAAATAAAATGCCAAAAGTCTGGGAGATGTATTTGTCATTTCTTCTCCAGCAACCGGTTATCACGAAAACACGTAGGATATTTGATCAGGCCCTTCGCGCCCTTCCTCTCACCCAACATAATAGGATATGGGCATTGTATTTACCGTTTGCAAATTCTGTTGCAGGAGACACAGCTGTCAAGATTTGGCGCAGGTACTTACAAATACACCCTGAAGATGCAGAGGAATATGTTGAAATTTTAATTGCGAATACAAAATATACAGAGGCAGTTAAATATTACATTGATATACTAAATAATCCTAAATTCCGAAGTAAAAAAGCGAAGAGTCAGTATCAAATTTGGAATGAAATGATCGACCTTCTCATAGCTCATGCCAATGATATTCAAACAGGGAATAATTCTGGAATCGATGTCGAAAGAATAATTCGAAGCGGTATCACCCGTTTTTCTGACCAAAGGGGAAAGTTATGGTCTGGCCTAGCAACATATTGGATCACAAGAGGTAGCTTTGAAAAGGCTCGCGACAGGTTTGAAGAAGGAATCACAACTGCTATGACAGTCCGAGATTTCACATTAGTCTTTGATACGTATGTGGAATTTGAAGAAACAATAATCGATACCTTAATGGAAGAAGCTGCTGCACGGACTAAGAAGGGAATATCGGATGAGACTGCTGACTTTGATTTGGATATACGTTTGATGAAGTTTGAACAACTGATGAATAGGCGCCCGTTCTTGATAAACGATGTTCTGCTTCGCCAAAATCCAAGTAATGTATCAGAATGGAATGTCAGGATAGGGTTGTGGGGCGACAACAAACTTGAGGTTGTACAGACGTATACAGACGCCATTGAAGCAATACAACCGAGAAAAGCTGTTGGTCGGTTTCATGAGCTATGGGCTAACTATGCTAAATTCTACGAAAACGGTGGCGATATTAGAAGCGCGCGGGTTATAATGGAGAAAGCGGTTAAGGTTCCGTTCCGTTCTGTTTCCGAGCTTGCTGACATGTGGATTGAATGGGCCGAAATGGAGCTTAGAAATGAAAATTTCGACGAAGCTGTGAAAATCCTAGCTAAAGCTGTACAAGCACCGAAGCGCTCCACGGTAGATTATTTCGATGAAACACTGACTCCACAGCAACGTGTGCACAAGAGCTGGAAATTGTGGAGTTTTTATGTGGATCTCGTGGAGTCAGTCAGCACCCTAACGGAGACAAAAAAGATTTACGAAAGAATTTTAGAGCTCCGTATTGCCACGCCACAAACTATCGTCAACTATGCGAACCTTCTTGAAGAAAACCAGTACTATGAAGAGTCATTTAAGGTGTACGAGCGGGGCCTTGATCTATTCTCTTATCCAGTTGCTTTCGAGCTTTGGAACCTCTACCTTACTAAAGTTGTCGACCGCAAGATCAGTATAGAGCGTCTGCGTGATCTCTTTGAACAAGCTGTTGAGGGTGTTCCCCCTAAGTTTGCCAAGGTTATCTATTTAATGTATGGTAATCTCGAAGAAGATCGTGGCCTAGCCCGTCATGCCATGCGGATTTATGAACGTGCCACAAGAGCTGTATCAGATGAGGATCGAGCTGATATGTTTAATCTCTATATTACAAAATCCGCCTCAAATTTTGGACTCCCTTCAACCAGGCCAATTTATGAGCGTGCAATTGCATCCCTACCGGATAAAGACGCTCGAGATATGTGCCTTAAATTTGCCGAAATGGAGAAACGTCTCGGAGAAATCGATCGTGCGAGGGCAATCTATGGCCACGCAAGTCAATTTTGTGATCCTAGAACTAGCCCCAGTTTTTGGACCAAATGGGAAGGCTTCGAAGTACAACACGGAAATGAGGATACATTCAAGGAAATGTTGCGTATCAAAAGGAGTGTACAAGCAGCTTTTAACACAGACGTTGGATTCATTGCTAGCCAGGCATTAGCTAGAGTTGAGGCAGGAAGTAACCGCGAGACAGAGAATATTGAGGGTGAGAGCGCTATGCAGAAGTTAGAACGAGCAGCCAGAGCTCCTGTTGGATTTGTGCATGCAAGTGATCAACCAACAGTCGCTAGTATGACACCGATAATCGCACCCAATCCTGATGCAATTGATGTGGATATCGCAGCAGAGGAATGATAAAATTTCTTTGGATGTCAGGGGTTTTTTTTATCTGAGATATATTGTTTGTATTTTTAATTTGCCCATGACATTGCAAAATTGGAAGGCGTTGAAAGGAATAAGGTGAAGGGTCCTCCATTGGTAGAAAATGTAAAAATAACTGATAAGAACTGTTATCATATGACTTGTTGAATAGGCATTCAGGTGTAAGAATTATATATAAATCGATCTCCACATCCAGGCTCATTTCCTTATAAAAACCTACACACGTAGCAACTTGCGCGTCCAAACACGATCCTCTCTCCCAACTGTCCACGAAGAAGCTATCATAGCTGCTCTTCGGGAAAAAATACCTATCCAGCAAGTAGATGAGATGATTACTAACTCAGCGGATGAGTATTTGCCCGCGAGCACTGACGATGATAACGAGCACTCCGACGAGGAATCTATCTCGATTTCTCAAACCAAGCTCTCAGCAGATAGAACCAGTGCCTCCTCAAAGACGCCAAAGATAAATCAAGCAAGACTAGGGCTTGCTCACTCATTTCACGCATCTCTTTCTCACAATTCTAGTATTAACATTTCTATCTTGATATGGACTCGTACAAACATGTCGTACATTAGTAACTCATATTGATACTCAGGAATGCGATGGATAGCAGTGATTGATGGTGTTAATGGCAGTGCGGGGTTTGATAATTGTGGACAGGGATATGACACATGTATATATATATATATATCGCGCACTTGATTCCTCTTGAAAACGATGATGCTTCCGACTACATTCACAATGGGCATACCTCTGATTTAAAAAAAAAAAAAAAAAAAAAAAGGGCATACCTAGTCTGGGCTAACTATCCCTTTCTACATTGGCCTCATATTCTAATTAATGTCTTTTCACCCTTCTATCTTAAATGACAGATCATGATATTCTTCATCTTGATGGCTATCATCAAGCTCAGAGTTATGAACAGATTAAATCTTTCATATCTAGAACCCCCATCTATAGTAGGGAGATTTTAAACTCACACGTCCGAGCCGTGAACTCTCCAGCAGCAGTAACAAACGAATTTGTAACGGCATTCTAGCTCGGCAAGATTCTGGATCCGAACATCTCCGTTCCTTACCACCTACAGTTGCGGCAGACTTCAGAGCTATCGTTACGCGTAGCGCTGCTCGAGTTATAGCGGGTCTTCCTCTCTTTTAAAATGGGCCCTGAACCAACAAACACAAGCTCGGCTACATCCGAATACTGTAACAGCTTGTAAAGCACCAATAACTACAAAGCTAATTAACGCCAACGCCACAAAAGCCAGTCTATCGTTGCCAGCCCAAGATACTGGTCTCGCACCGAAAGTTCACTCTAAGAAATTCAGGAAACGAGCAAAATCGCCGAAGATTGACACCAGGGTGATTATTCGCCTCCCCAGTAATAATCCTCTCCCTCTCCAGGACACACTTCTGGTCCTGTCTAGATTCCGAGGGCTATTAGATTGACCAGAGTTCATCAAAGATATCCGGAATTTTCCATCTGGTATTGCGTTAGTAGCCCCCCGGCGAGTCAGGCTCCAGAGTTGCTACGGGCCGCTCAACCCCTCCAACCAATAACTGGAAATGCCCAGAAAGAGTGACAGGAAAAAAGCATAAACTATCTTCTCGGACCAGCTCCAAAATATGGATACAACGCATCTAGAGCTCAGGAGACACTTTCAGATGAAGGAATTCGACAGAAATTAGCATCTGCCAACTTCGACACAACAATAGTATACTCCATGAACTGAACCCGTCGATATAGAATCTCCCGAAGGAGAGGAGGTCCAACGTCTCGTAATTTAGATTTCCGCCACTTCTAAGCTTCCAACGCATCTCCGTCTGCTTGCTAGAACTGCTTGGCAAAAGCCTCTCAAAAATTGACCTCAGCTCAAGGTATATCCTTGATGCCACGGCTACCATAATATAAATCCATGGACTAGGCACACTTGCTGCGGCATCTGCGCTGTAGATTCTCACAGCGGACTGTGTAGTAATCCCGCCATTTGTCTAAACTGCGCCGGAACTGATCAGACGTTATCTCTTGGTTACTGTCAGAAGCAGCATGTAGACAGCAAGGCGGAGACATGGGTTTCAGAGGTGGTATTCAGGCTAAAGGGTGCCATCCTACATTATGCATGAGATAGGTGCACAACTGCTCGGCCAAAAGGCCAGACCAAAATCATAGAACACTAGATTCTGGTTATCTCCACAAAATATAGATTATATAGAAAGCAATCCTGACAGTTACCCAGCTCGTCTACTCTGAGCGAACGGTGTCTTTATACGACCAGACAAAAATAGGCTCCGGGCTATCCGACAAGACGGTTACAGGGCTTTGGCCACTATAAACCCTCCCTCACCTCCTCCAACTGGCTCAGAAATAACTCAGTAAGCTAGGGTCATACCCTAAGGTATTCCTGCTTTGGCTAGTACTTTTATTGGAACTGGATCCAGACTCGCCCCCTTGATCACTATGGAAGATCAATTATAATGATCCGAGTTCGTCTACGCAGAGTGCAGAAATCTACTGGTCTCTAAGTATTTCAAATATTGCGCTAATCCAGGAACCATGGATTTTACCCGGCTTTACCAGTAAAGTTATTAAACATATCCAAGGAAAAAACATCATTTTTGCCAGAAAGCTGCGCAGCCTTCCACGCTGCCCGTATCTTCAATTTGTTATCGTAATCATCATTATTAAATCTTCATTACCCTCCTTCCATCTATTCGCTTTCCGTGCTCCAACATGGCGAGTGTGGATGCTGGTGTGGGTAAATCTAGTGGTTTCGACGCGTCGCAAAATGTGACAATGGCCTCAACAAACAACGGCAGCGGAGCGCAGATAGCTCCAAAGGATAGAAACCTCGAAATCCTGGGGGAACTACTAAGACAGGTTAGACTAATCGTGATTGGAGAGATGTATGAGGAGGTCCTACCCTCAATGGAGGACTTGAACGAGGCCGTGAAGGCCTTCAACGCGCACAAAAGGGCCTGGACGGAAATGTCCCAGAAGAAGTCTCCTATCGAGGAGAGGATGATGGCCTTAGAGGAAGTCGTAAAGAAAAGCCTCGCGGATCCCGCTCGGAAAGCTGCTCTAGCAGTGGTTTCGGGCGCGACGACACCAAGGAGCTACGCATCGGTCGTGGCTCCCCAATTGACAAAAACAGCGGTACGAATAAGAATCGACGGCCCTCAAAACTTGCAGCCACAAGAGCTGCTTTCAAAGGCAAAAGAGCACATACAAGGTGCATATGCAATTCTTCAAATGTGGAGCAACGATACCGAGGTATTCGTCCAGTCAGCGTCCCAGAGAGACGCGGCGCTAAACATGCGAGAACCAACGGATTTCAAAATTCTGCGGAAAGATTTTCCAGTCGAGGTCAGCGGTGTCCCATTGCGGACACGAATTGAAGGGGGCAGAGATGCCAACAATTTTACCGTCATCAGGGAGATAGAGACATGTCAGACCAGTATCAGAACCCGGTGGAACTCGTATTCCTGAATTAATGTTTCGTGATTCATGTAAATTCCATTCTTCTAATGATAATGATATTTTTATCGTGACCGGGTAGTGACCCAGCACCCAGGGGGCATGGCACGTGTAGTCCAGATCTATATAAGACTCTTCGCTACCTACATGATTGGTTCATAGGAGCCAGAAATGCAGAAACAACCCAAATAAAAAGAAAAAACACCATTTCTGAGGTGCTAGCGCCCTGCACTACACCTCCATCCTGGTGCCACACTGAGCGGCCCTAAGAAGCAATATAGCTGACATTCAAGTTCCCTGTTTATGATTCAATTTTGCTGTAACATTTTGTTACAGTTAGAAAGCGCCAGAATATCTGCCATCCTTCTTGCCCTATCATATCCCTTGTCGTAGGTCGTGGTTCCTTCGTTTCCGTCCTCCATTTCTGGATGGTCGGGCGACACTCTGCAAAATGCCATGGCCGTTTCTCTCGTCCGCATTTGCATCGCATTTCTTCATTCGGATGTTGAAATCGTCTGTGATAGCTAGCGAAATCACCATGCCCAGTCCTTGCCACAATGAGGCGGTGATATGCCCATCGAGGTAAAGCTAGCTCCGGAGGGCGATTTCTTCGCATCAGTAAGTCCAGATCTTCATACCTGTCCGATCTATTTTTATGCCACCAATCTTCCGCGAGTTTCTGTACTCGTATTGTGACTTGGCGTTTAAGTGCTGCGAATGTCAGGACTTTGTCAGATTCCTCCTGAGTGCACTCTGGTCTCGGGATATTTCCTTCCCTGGTTTTTGATGCAAGGGCTGCCTTTGCAATTGCGTCGGCTTTATCGTTCCCTTCAACACCACTGTGTCCCGGAACCCAGTGGACTTCTACGGCAGGCTGAGCCTTGGATAGTTCAATAAAATTCCGGACCTTAGACTGTGAAGAGCTCGTTCTACCACTCACAAGGGCTCTTACCGCCTCTTGATTGTCGAGGAGCACCTTGATACCTATACTACCTCCAATTTCCGACGCCGCTTCTAGGCCTCGAACTGCCCCGACGATTTCTGCATCAAAGACCTCTGCTCCTGGGAGAAAATTTCCACCACTCGCTATGAGTTCTCTGTCCCTGTATATAGCATAGCCATAAGCTGAGTATGCTGGACCAGTCGATGACCCATCAGAATATACACACAGCGTCCCTACAGGGAGATTTCTAAGCCAATGATTAGTCCGCTTCGACTTTTCCTCCTTGTCGCATTTGACTCTAGCCATAGCCCTCGCGATCATCGGTTGGTAAAGCTGTCCAGGCCCTTCTGATGCCGGTAGGTTGAGGTTACCATTCTGAAGGCGTGTCAGATGTCGCTCTGGAAACTTGAAGACACGATCTTTTTGCCCCTCTCTCAGTTTGAGTCGCTTAATTGCTTCCTTTGGTGTCTCAGCTGCCCTTGACGACAAAGGGTGATAGCTGTCGAATCTGCGGATTCTGGCTGCATTTCGGAGCTGTCGCTGCTGTAGCAT